TCATTATTTACGAATAGTCAACGGGCTTGCCGTAGGCACAGGAGCCAGCTCACGTCGTTGACGCCCCATTCATGCCAATCAACAAATAAGGCGGGGCTTATCGTGCCTACAGATATGCGAAAATGAAAGAAAAGAACTTAGCGCAGTGCGCAAAACAGCGTGTTATTTTCGTTTTTGTGCCTAACTCTATCGTAGGAAACCGTTCTAGCCTAGCAGAATGCCCTAGTTCGTGAGATCGGCGATTCCGTGTCGCAATAGGTATTATAGCTGGAAGTTAGTATATAAGGGGGCGGCGTAGACTGTGATTGGAAGACACAAAGTGTCAATCCTCGGCTAGCGCCTCGGGATCATGGCCGCGTTACGTCTAGATCTAACGAAATCGTAGGATAAATTTCGCCAGACAGCATTCGATTCGTGCCAACGCTAGTGATGATAGCGCGCAGTTCGAAGGAAACGTCAAACCCCGGGCGTATTACATCGCGAACCAGCCGATCGATTCTTTGTGAGAACGCACACAACTCTGTCCACTTCAGTGTGTATGGTGGCGTGGCTAAGCGTGGTAGAAAGAGCGTAGTAGAGGGTCGCCACCTTATATATCAGTTAATTCTATAAATTGAGTGAAATACTACGGGGACAGAGCATGAGTGGGCATCTCAGCATCCCTCATCAGCATGCGGCATCTCTCGCCTACGCCACGCATTCTTCGTCTGCACCCAGCATCCCTTGGATGAGACCAGCATCTTTCACTCCTCATCCCTCGTCGACGCGACACTTTGGCTGAACACTGCACACCTGATTAAAACCGTCACGGCCGGCGCGCGCGTGTATGTAATTGAAAACTGCTGCTTTAGACTTCATTCGAGAAAAGCTATTGACTGTATCGATCGATGTACGTGACAAGCCGCCGTTGTGCAAGCCTATCAGGTGCGTTTGCCGAACCTGTCCGCCTCTCGCGTTTCTCTCCGCGGACGGTTGCCTTTTTGAAATTGGATTTTCCACGCGCGCTTCCTCCCCCGACTCACCGACAGGTGAACCGACGGTTGTGTCGGCTTACCGCGAGGGGGCGCCACTAACCGAGGATGCGACTGTAACATCTGAGATAGATCATGTAATTTTCAGAGGTATGGCATTCGCTTTCGGGAAATGTTGTCTTGCGAAGTAAAACGACTTTAGTGCCTCATGTCTGTTTGCTTAGTGTTTCGTCGACGATTTTGCGTGCGGTGGGCGATTCGAGGGCATGGCCGCGTGGTTTGGCAGGATTCCCGATCCGGCAGCACCGCCGGCCCTAGCAGCACCGCATGGAACGATAACAACCATGGTGCATCTAGCTGTCGTCTGCTCTCGGTGTATCAATCCGCATACTTGCTGCTACATCGTCCCACTGAACGTTTTGCTGGACGTCATCGAACTGTCGGTCATAACCAAAATTTTATCCCTAACCATAACTGCACCCTAATCTTTACCTAACCCTTCCTTTACAGTAACCGTAAATTATCTCTTAAAAAGATCTTACGTTAAGCACCGTACACTAACGCTTATTTTACCTTCAAAATTACCAGTAACACTATTCGCAATGCTATTATAATGAAGCCCCAAAGGCTCACTGCATGCACCACTAATTCTATCCCAAAAGCCAGCCAATATATACCAATCGCCAGGCGTAGTATAGCCTAAACCCGATCGATGAATTCACGAGACAACTTACCTGGCTTGCATTTGTAGTGTATCTCCAGGTTCTTGACCAATCCTGGACATGGGTCAATACCGAACGATTCCCATGACACTCGCACCCGGCATGACTGCCGGCCCTGACACATGTTCACCACTTTCTGCGTGCGCAACAACAAAGAAAACCCCCATGACGCGACGCGGAAACATGTGATTATCATCATTCACTGATTATCAAACGTCTCAAGAAATTGTGCAGTTAGTTTATCATCGTAATACTTTCTACGCGAAATTTCTATGCGAAATTTTAATACCTTCAATGGCATTCACCGAAGAAACAGAGGAGGAACTTGCTTGAAATTAGAATGAAAATGTCTACACATAACGTGGTTTTAAAAATGAACGCATATAAATGACGGCAATATAAATATACGCACGAACGAAAAAAAGTTACACGTGATCAATATTTCTCTGTACAGCCTAACGGCAGTTTGCCAATATGTCAGCGAAAAAACCTCGACGTGTTAAACACACAGCAAAATGCAGCCAGGAAGTATGAGTTCACAAACAAACATCTACTACTAAACACAACGCTATCTATATTAATAGTTCAACAAAAAAGGCCTGCCTACTATAGGCCTATATCTATTTATCTGAGTGATGGCTCGGTGAAAACTAGTCAAAATATTTATCCAAGTAGAGCAAAAACACACTTCTTCAATTCGGCATATTACGATGAAAGGCCCGCGTGTGCGAGCTATCATCGGCAAAGCCTCATGTCGGGGTGTTTCACCGGTAATTGATTACGTTACAAACACGTTATTCACCTTTACCAGTAGCGGGAACAGCATGCACGGGTCAACCGCCCAATGCTACGCCTGCCACCACCAAGAAGGTCTATATGTTTGATACAGCTCCTTGACCATCACGGCGAACCATTCAGTCACCATTAAGACACCAGCTAGTGTTATACACGGTGCGGCAGCAAATAGCTCCCCCGTTAGTTCACGCGTCTACATTTACCATTCACATCTCACTAGTCGTTAGATCAAGCGACTACAGGAATTTGCAGCACGGCAGATCGGACCAAACCAATGTCACAGCTACACTGGCGCCCCCTTCGATTGCCTACTGTTTACGCTGCTACGCGACCCTATATGCGTCATGCTTCGAACAACAGCAATGTTACAACTACGATAGGCCAGTATACGTACACATATATATACGGTCTGGTTATACACAGGTCTGAGTCTAAGTTAAGTTGTTAGTAATACAGATGGTGGTTGCACTCAATGGGTAGTAATTAGTGCAACATATAGTTACATTTACTTCAGCTAATAAGCGATTTAAACTAGTTAGCCGGTCCCTTTGGTTGCCATTTCTACGGCGTGTTTCCTTTGGCAACCTCGTTCTCTCACTCACGCGTGTGTTCACACACACACACACGCACGCACGCACGCACGCACGCACGCACGCACACACACACACACTCTCTCTCTCTCTCTCTATAT